TTTTTTTTTTTTTCATTCTTTCATCTAGTCATATCATTTCATTTAGTGAAGGACATATAAGGTATTCAAATTATTCAGAGGGGAAAAAATGTCAAAAATTTACAATTTTGCAAGGACTTTAAAAAAGTGGCATTTTTTGTAAATGCAAACCCAAAGTTTGACATCTAATGTAATTTCCTCAAAAGGTCATTAGCAGTCTTTCCTCAACTGGTAGCGCTACAGGTTCATATGACGGCAATGAAATTTCAAAATCTTATGAAAACGAATATTTTACTTTAGTTCAACCACAAGAAAATTCTACATTTACTGAATTACTTCTGACAGTAAAAAGGACTCCCTCTTCAAGATAGTTCGACCATCTTTCGGTGGAAGTGACACCTCTCCAAATAATTCAAGCTTCTGTCAACTGTTTTCAAATTTTCAAGAGCAAGTTTTCAAGCATGAAAAAATAAAGACTCACCCAACAGGGAAATTGCAGCCTTTTAGTGGATTTCATAAAGCAAAAATCTTCAACAATTTATCGCAGGTTTCGAATCTGTTTAGAAGGGGAAACCTCAATGGTCAAGCATCTGAAAATTCTCTAGTTTTTAGAATTGTATTTCGTTCAAGTTTTTTGTTGTAATCACATCTTGTGATCAAGTTGGAAGAGCATGTGCTACTTTGTATGGTTCAATTATCAAATCAGCTTCAATATTGTAAGTTCTTATATTTTATATCCTTGTTCTCATATTTTTTGCTGAGATCAGTGACATGGTATATCAATTTATTGGTGAACTGTCTCTACGTTATTTATTTTTAATTTTTAAAATATTTCATTGAAAAGTGGTTGGTAATAGCAAAGGTAAGGTCTAGTTGGTAAAATACTACTTCTACAGCCTCCATTTCCAGTAGTATGCAAAGTGCAGAGTTAAGGTGAAAACAAGAGAATGTTTTCATGGATTAAAAATGAGAGAGAGTTTGCATGGCATGAAAATATTGCTATAGCATAAATATAAAGCTGTGTATTGGGTCTTTTTTATTTTGATCACTCGTTATAAATAAATTTATTATGAATTTTTGGAAGAAACAAGTAATGTGCTCAAAATCTGCTCAATTCTAGCTATTAGCATCCTTCTTATTCTTGAACTCCTCATAAATCCGTAAAGTCAAGTAGAATCCAAGCTGAGACACCTACATTTAATGGAATTAAATAAAATCTAAGTTGGGATTATGTATCTCAGAGTGCTTTGAATATGCGCTCAACATTTTAGTGGTGGCACTGTTAGATTAACTTTTGCTTGGGCATTGACGCAGCGAGCAAATGGTGTTGGATATGAAGCAACAGCTGTTATGTTGATATTGTTCAAGATGATATTAGTGCAAGGAACGGTACTGCTGCAACTTAAGTTGATAGCAGCATTCTTCCTACATATGGTTGTTCCATGAATTCGAGTGTATGTCACGTCACTAACTTTGACAGCTGATGCCTATTAAGGGACAAAGAAAACTATGTCAGTCAACAATATAAATAAAGAATGTGAATCTTCATTAATATTAAACCCCCGTTTGATTTTCATTCTTTGGCCACAAAAATGAAAAATATGACCTTTATTCATTATATCAAGACATCATAATTGACTTTCTATCTCTTAAATGGATCCCGTAACAATTATATTTTTCATTCTCATTCTTATAAAAATGGGAATCAAACAAGGCTAAGTGTATTAAGGGATAAAATTTCAAATTCAATAAAGATGAAAACATAGACCAACTTATAAATATTTGTACCTTTCTTCTAAAAAATGTTTGACCTTTTAAAACGAGAATTCAAATCTTAATATGGTATCAAAGTCTATTAAACTCCATGGGCAATTCAATCCAATTAAGACTTAAAAAATGAGCATGCGGATGACAAAATTAATTTACTCAAATGACTACCATTTTGCAAGATATATTAAGGGAATAAAGATAAAAATATAGACCAACTTATAAGAAATTGAGCCACTTTTCTTAATAAGTTTGATCTTTTAAGATGGAATCGTAAGTCTTAATAAAGTGTTTATCTGGATTTAGCTACATGTTAATTATTTATCTCAAAAGAGTGCTCGAATACACCCCCAACCCTGAAAGAGAAGAAAAATCACATAAAAAGGATGGGGTGAAGTTGCATACTTCGGCGATCTGGCATATTTTGCCATTGCAATAAAATTGGTCAATGATAATAGGGTTATCAGCTGCTATTAATGTTATGTCTGAGAAGCTTATGTTCCTGGCAAATCCAGAGCCTCCCTACATAAGAAGAAACAAATATACATGATAAAATGTTGTACTTGGAAAAAATATGTTAATGTATTTTAACACCGTTCATGATTCTTCTCAGCTCTTCTCAGTTCCTACCTGCCATGTTTTGATTCTTACTCCATTTTCAGTTCCCTTAAAGGTGCAACTGCTTACGCTTATTCCTTGTACTTCATCATTCTCTCCATTTTGTCCTAAACTTCCAATACTGCCAAAAGAGAGTACAGTTTAATAGATTCAAAATTCTCTCACTATCGAGTTTTACGAGCAATGAAATATATAAATGTACATATTTACATCAGTAGAATTGATTCCGTATCTCCAGTGGGCACAATAAAAACTTCCCGCTAATTGTGTGGCAAGAGAACCTTAATTATGGTTTTTCGAATTTAGCAATGAGAAGTTTTTATCTTATCCACTGGAGACAGGAGATCAACATGTTTCCGTCAAATTATAAAGTCGAATGGTTGGAAACTAACCTTATTCCATGGCCAGGACCACATGTAACATCGGTTATGTTCACATTTGAAGTACCGCCGCTAACAGCAACACAATCATCACCTTTTTACGATATGAGTAAGATATGAGAATATATATTAACAAAAAACAATATTGTTCATACAAGAAAAGAACAAAAGGCAGAAAATGCCTATCGAATAAATTATTACCTGTTTCTATTATGCTGTCATGAATATGAATGTCAGTGGAATGGCCTATATTAATTCCATCAGTGTTGGGACTTGTTTGAGGGGCATTAATATGAATATTTGCAATGTTTACTCCCTTGCAGTAGGACAAGGTAACATGATTCCTTGGGCTGTTGACGTGTTTCAGTCCACTTACTTGAAGTGTGGTACAATTACCAAATCGCATTGCCTGAATTACATTATTATAGATATAAGTTCTAATTACTAAAAACATATATATATATATAGATATATATTATTTTTTCAGATAAATATTTCAGAAGTTTAGATAACTCACAGTGGGTCTGCCGGTGGCGTCGCCTGTCTGAAAAAGGAAAATTCTAGTAATTAATTCAACTTGGAATATTAATTACAAGCAATAGTTATTTATTTATTTATTTTACTTATACAACATGCCAAATGTGCACAAGTCAAAAAATTGAACAGTTCTATTTTGAATGTTAAAAAAATGTATATGAGTCTTAAAAATTGTTAAAATTGTTTTGAGGAAATTACTGTAAATAGAAAGTATGTGGTTAATAAAATGAATTCATTCAGTAAAGATATTTAATAATATGATAATTAATTCAAAATATTAAAAATTTAAATTTAATATTTTTATAAGTACAATACTTGTTTTTAGAATTTAAATAATTCATGTTGGAGTTAGATAATGAAGAGAAATTCCAAATTGTTAAGACAATTTCAATCCTTTAACTGGTTAAAATTAGGTTTTCACTGTTTTCCGTCAAACAATTATACTTACTTCAAGATATAGGTCACTTTCCTTGTTTAAAGTATAATTAATATCTTAAATTTTTAATATACCCTTATTTATGGCCCGTTTGGTAGTCATTTTTTTCAAAATGCATTTTTCTCTCTTCTTTTCAACCACATATTCTTTATTAAAATAATATTACACGTGAATAGAAAACTTTTCCTTATTTCTCAACCTCATGTTTTAAATTAATTTACTATTCTAAAATACATTTTTACATAAAAATACTTATCAAACACTCCTTTAATGTGTCTTACTTTCAACAAATATGAATTACAATTATTCAACATTGAGGCGTATTAGAAAAAAATATAAGTAACATTTTTTATTTCAACATAAATATATTAAACTTTTTTTTAATATTGAATAAAAAATTTCCATGAAGAGAAACAGGATCTTGTTTACCTTAGTGTATAATTTTGTGCATATACGAATGATCCATGAAATAGAAATTAAGCACCTGAAATATTAGTTTCAATCTCGAAAATTTTCTTTTTAAATATTTTTTCTTATGACATATAGAATTATAACTTTAATACCTCAAATGTAATTGATGGGGACCTGCACGGCCCCTCAAATTGGATTTGATTCACCAAATAAGTCTTCCCTTGTCGTACGGAAACCTTTGGATTGATCGTCCCTTGATTACATGCTGCTTTCCATGCCGCCATGAAAGCCTAACAATTTATTTAAAGGAAATGTGAGCTTAACGGAAAATGCATATTGCAGTTTCAAATGTGATCCTAGTCAAACAATATATTATATTCATAAATGTTGCATGATGGATAACTTTAATTCACATTTCATCCAAAAATTAGTGGGACACATAACTTCTACTCACAAGGGTGGACCCAAGATTATTTTTCAGTAGGGGCGAAAAAAAAAAAAAAAAAAGAGCTAACATAAATTGTGAAAGCAAAAGAACATTTTGAAAATCAAACTCCCAGCTTCCTAGTTCCTACATCAAAAGCAATAATAACCACTGGATCAGATGCCTAGCATTCGTCTAGAAATTTTTCTCAAGATACTCGAAATTTCAGCGGGGCCCAGTGGACCATTAATGGGTCCGCCCCTGTTTACTCACTATTCTAGAGAACCCAATGCTCATTAAAAAAAATAAAAATAAAAATAAAAAAATAAAATAAAATAAAATCCTACAAAGTTTGAAACTAAAGAGTTACTTTGGTATCATCTGCTTTTCCATCTCCGACTGCTCCGTATGTCATGACATCAAAGGTGGGTCCCGCAGCATGGCTAGATAAAAGTCCTCCATTTACTAATTTTGATGCCAAAAATCCCCAACACAAAATCAAAAGACAAGCAAATATGCCCTGCGCCAATATTTTTCAATTGAAAATTAGGATATAAATTTGACATACCCTCCCAAATTTTTTTAAATAAATACATAAAAGAAAAATAAGAAAATTTCATAGTTGAAGAATAATGAAAAAAATCTTGGCTATTTTATTGACACTGGAAACTGAATTGCGTACCATCTTTTTTGAATATAAAGTTATAAAATGAAGTGAAACAGGGACTAAGATGCAGTGGTAAAAAAGGACCTGGCAATGGCCAAATATATAGGAAAGAGTCCCCAAAAATATAATGATAGCATTAAATTTAATCGGATGCTGTTAATAATAATCATGAATAATGTTATCTAGCACCAGCAATGTTGGAATAACAATTTAGATGGTTCTTTTAATAAGTTTAATTAAATGAATCACGTGACATTATATTTAAATGAATAAACCTATCATTAAATGTTACACATTAGATTGGTACTTAACATCAATGGTGTTAAATCCATAAACGATAATTTAGAGAATAATTAATGCATTACTAAATTGTTATTAATCATCATTAAAAGTCCTTCCATATATAACTAATTGGGTTGATTAGGCAAATACCAGAGTTCGATGATTCAAAAAAAAAAAAAAAAAAAAAAAAAAAAGAAGGCAAGGTTGAAATGCACAAGATGACATAAAATATTGAAAAATTTTTGACAACTTGAATTCTTCGAGATTTAAGGAAGTAACACCGTAATATATAACTATTCCTTTTAACACTATGATAATATCCAATAATCTCTCCACGCATTCAAATTAAATAAATAAATATGTTTCACTACGAGGCAATCAAAATGCATGATATTCTACCGAAATGCATTTCCTTATCATTTTCATTTATTTATGAATTAGCGTAGTTGTGCTCGAGGACTAGTAAAAGTTTAATTTTAATAGTTTTTGATAAAATGTGATTCTTACATATATCTCAACAACTAAGTAAGATCTTTTAACACCTTTAGAGTGTTTTTTGAGTTGATTATTGTTTATTTTATGATTGTCGGGCGAGATTCCCGAACTAGAGATAGATTGGTGAAATCGACACAAAAATACTAAGAAGTTGAGGTTTTGAAGTGAGGATCAAGAGCCGAGCTATGAAAGAGGAGAAATAAGAGACAATCAAGAAGAAAGAAGATGTTTTAAAGTGATATTGTCGAGTTATAAGTGAATGATTAAACACTCAAAGGTCAGTAAAATGAAAGAAAAAAACAGCATATGTTCGAAACATGGAGAAGAAGAAGAATTCAAGGATTGATGTGGAAGATTTTGCCAGGAATATTATATATGAATGGAAAGTTTATCGAGTTTGGAGTTCAACAAATTTTACGGATCACAATTCAATGCTTTCTTGAAAGAGTTATGTACGCTTTCGTTAGAACTGTCTGGAATCAAACGTTTCATGTCTTTTTTAGCGATTGTAAGGCCTTTTAGCTATGAACAAATACCAATTTTGTAATTCATTAATTATACAATGATTTTTTGTTTGTGACTGAGCTGGTATTACAATATCATTCTAGATAATACTAAGTATCGTTAAATTAAATGTTCAATTAAATGAATTACATTATTTGCTTATATTGAACATATAACAATAATCTATATAAT